GAATACTCAGAGGGGAAAAATACCATATTTCTTTCATTCTAAGGCCCCATTAATTGTAAAATGCACGCTAATTTCAATACCACCAACATAAAAAAGTTTTATTTGTATATATAAAAGCACCTGCAATTCTAATATGCAACCCATTTTAGAGATATTTATATTGGGGGGGGGGGGAGTGCATCTTAGATTGAAAAATACCCATAAATCATGCACATTTGCCATTCTACGAGAGATCTATGCACATATAGACCCCCTCCATATATAGAAATGCCTGGTACATGAACTCTAAAAACATGACTAGGTGCAATCATTGCGCATCATTGTGGATGGAGGGACTCCATTCCCCTTGCTCCTTTAATAGCATGGATCTCTTTCAAATATTATAAGAATTAAAAGTTTAGGCATTTAAGCATTTAACTCTGGCCACTAAGAAACAATTCAGCGGAGACACTTCTATGTGTAGAAGAGATGGCTCTGCTTTCATCTAAATACATGATCCAAAGTTTTTCCTTTTAAAAATGAAGAATTATTAGGCTTGTTAAACCAAATTGCCTTCCCAAATGGAAATACGATGTTAGATAAGGGTTGGTGAAAACAAGACACTACTTTAATAGCAACTGAAATTTGCAATGACACAGAATCGTGGGATATGTGGGCATCCACCCTTTATGAAGAAGAATTCAAGCTGCCAAGGCATTGCCCTAGGTGTTTCTGGCTAGCACTCCTAAAAGGGGACACAACTAGACTCCCTTATCTAGCTGAGGTGGTCAACAATGAAAGGAATGTGGGTAGTATTCCTCTAGGAGCTCCTTAAAGGAGCATACCACCCCCGGGAGTGCTCATACCCCACTAGTTGTGAGAAGACTAACAACTAATAACAGGAAAGAGTTTTATGCTGAAAAATAAAGTCCAAAAGCAAATCAAGTCCAAACACTATCTAGAAACCAAGATAACTACATGTCAGTGTAGTCATATTTTGCCGTATTATACTTGATAAGGTGGATGGCAATAGGAAAAGAGGAAGATCACATTCCAGATGGATAGGGTTAATCAAGGTCCTTAGTCTACAGGGTCTGACCTGGGCTGTTGATGATGGATGATTTGGAGGTCTCTCATTCATTGGGTCACCATAAGTCAAAGTTGCTTTTATGGCAGTTAATAAAAACAAGTACACAGCAAGATAAAGTAACAAACATACCACAGCATTAAATAATACATAAAAGGCATTAATAACACAGTGGACTTCCTCCCTTTCTTAAGCCAAGGCATCTATCAGAATATTATATTATAAAGTACTTCTATTCTACTAGTTCTTCCAACTTCTGCTAAATATAAACAAATACAATTTTGATTTATTTTAATGCCCTTTGTTTATTATTATTATTATTATTATTATTATTATTATTATTATTATTATTATTTTATCTGTATCTTACCAAAAGTGCTATTGATACAAACATTTGAACATTTTTACTAAAATTGTATTTTGTAATTTTATCCCTCCCCAATTCTTTCCCTTTCAATCTAGATTAATTTTACTATATTCCAACGTTCTTTTCAATAGAATATCTTGTTATACTTCCCCTTTTAATTTAATTGTTCCATTTTTCCTCAACTCACCCTTTTTCATTTAAGAAGTTATTATTTTATTTTAATTCTTCTAGAGTTCTTTGTTTATCACAGTCTAGTCTCAATGCATGCCATTCTGAAAAATAGCAATATGCCCATTTAATTTTGACATGTTTCTCTCATCGAAATGGACTCTCAAAAAGTAAATAAAGACTACAGGTTTTCTCTCTTGCTTTGCCTGTGTGTTTAGTAAAACTTGAAAACTTGAATATATTTTCCCCTGTGATATCTTATAGGATTCTTTTTTCCCCTTGGTCTGAAGATAAATTTGTATCCACCTGTTTGCTTTGGTCTTGTCTGCATACACCATCTAATTATAGAAATCTGACTTTATTCCTTCTAGTTCAATTCATGTTGCTTCCTTATGAGTTGGGAATTCTTGATCGATCTGGTGCATTATATCTTTTCTTTCTTCTTTTCCACTTTTGTTTTTCTTATTCTTATTTTTTTTGGTTGTTATTAGGATTTGTTTAGATTCATTTATTATATCTTTCAGATTTTGCTTAATTGTGTTTTCTGTTTGAAAAAGCTCTTTTTTGAATTTCAGCAGCTTTTGCAAAATATGTAATTGTGATATTTTTGGACAATGAGAGCATCGATTGAAAGAGGATAATTACGGCTTTTCAACAAACTACCTAAGAGGTGACAATTTCAATAATACAGAGAAGGTTACTGTAAGCCCAGGAGCTCATTATAAATCTTCCAGCCAAATTTAGTCAGATGTATTTTGGGAACCAACTTTTATGTTGATTTATAAAGACAATGAAGGTAGGATTCTTGGAGCTTGGCCATCATATTTGCTGAGGCATATCCACAGATTGGAGAGATGGCGGTCTGAGTCACTTGCCTTTTCTGTGTCTATTCATGAAACACTGAGACAAATTTTGGCATGTGGATAATTCCATTAATTTCTTATTATTCTAGGATGTGTCTTTTACTAGTTTGGGGGCCTCAAAACCAACTTTTCTCAGCAGATTGCTTATTTCCCACCTCAAGCCTAAGTGAGAAGGTGAACTTTTGTTCTTTGACTGCTCTCTCAAGGTCTACCATCTTGATTCTAGCTGTTCATTTCTTATTCAAATGAACTCAAAGTTAACTGCAGTAAATTATAAGAGAGAAAAAACCTAAATATGATGAAATTTGAAAGAATTATGCCCAAAATAAATATTTAGGAGAAAAATGTTTGATCATTTTCATTTCATCATCTGCAGTGGAAAAACAGTGTGAAAAAATAATATATTTGAAAAACTGCACAAAAATATGTATATCTGCAAAATAAAACCACATAAAATATGTATAACTGGGGAAAATGCAGTCTGATCAAATTGGATAGACTTCAGTTTGTAAGAGGTTGCCAAACAGATACTATATGGTCAACTCTCAAGAAATGGATTTCAGCATTCGAAGAGGGTTAGACTAGATGGATCTTGGTGTCACTTCAAATTCTACAGTTCTGTGATTCTATAATGGAACAAATCAGCAGCAGCAAAATGGGAATTTGAGTGATGTCAAATTTTTAGTTTGGGATGAACAATATGGCTGATGCAGTTTCCAGGCATGTCCTATCTTCTGGCATGTCCTAACACATGGGCTTTTGCTGCTTTCTGATGTCCTGTCCTAGTGCGACCACTTCTGCTTAACACAAGCAACCTCTTGTCCATTGCTTCACTGATGCAACATCCACCTCTACTATTCTCCTCCAGTATTTCAAATGCTGTGGTCACACTGGAGGAGTACAGTTAAAAAAAAAACCAACTTCCAGGGGCATCTATTTTCCTTTTCTTACTGTCCAGCAGACATAGACATAGCAGACATAGACACGTAACATGTATGTGCACAAACCCCAGCAATAATAGATGGTGATGGTGAAAGCAAGATAGTTTTGTGTTGCCCTATTTCAAATGCTAGCAGAGAAAAACTGGACTTTTTCTTCCTATTCTACGTCACATAAATTTATCACAAATGCTTTTATCTGCCAGTACCCTTCTCCCTCCACAAGACTGACTAAGATAGCTCAAAGCATTCATCTTTTGATAAGTTTGCAAAGACAGGTTATTTTCCCTATTTTTTTAAAAAAAGAAAGCAAGAAAGAAGAGTCTGAACAGGACAGGAGTTGTCAGTAAAGGTGGGATATTTTTGATGGTCTCAGCCTTAGACCATAAAGAAATGTTATTCACCCATGCACAACATATAATTCATCCTAAGTGGCAGCAGACTCTGCTCTAGAGAAGCATTTGACTGAGCTGCCTTACAAAGTCAATTACTGCTCCTTCTCAGGGAGGCGGGAGGACTTTGGGCCAGAAGGGTTGCGATGCCTGCCAAGAAGGCATGGGGAAATTTGCTTTGTGTCAACCTGCATGACACAGTATCTCATTTGTGGATAAATATAAATCTAGCAGGCTGGTCTGTGTGTGTGTGTGTTTGCAAAAGGGGCGCTATAAAATATACCTTCCAACAACAACATTCCCATTTCTAAGCCTGATTTTATAATCATGACAGTGTTAGAAGGCTTTTACAATTCCAGCAATTCCATTTCCATCAAGAATTTCTTGAATATAAAGCTACTTAGGGACTCGCAACCTCATTTCTGTTTGCTTTACTAAGGGAAATGATGGAACACCTCATAGATTTGAGAAGTTTTGCCTAAGTAAAGATAGCAATATTGGAGTAATTAATTTAACACAAGTATTACCATCTGAGCAATTATGAGATGGAGCAAAGGAAGGTGAACAAATCTTATATTAAATGGAATTTTAAAACTCACAATTTTTTGTGAGGAGGCAATTTGGTTAGTGATTTTTAAATTTTTAATATGTATTAATTTTAATTCAGTGGATTTTAAGCTTAATGTTGTATGTGTTTAAGACATTGAATAATTGCCATATGTAAACCGCCTTTAGTCCACCTTGGGGTAGAGAAAGGTGGGGTATAAATAGGGTAAATAAAAAAAATAAAAAAATAAAAAATATCTCCAATTAAAAATAAAATAAAATAAAATGAAAAAGTCAAAAGAAGCACATTTTGAAATAAGTGACATATTTCGTGTTGAAAAACGAGTGTAAACAAACATATCTCAAACAAATGCTAAACTCCAAAATTTACTGCACCATTCATGCAGTTTCACAGGTCTCATTTCATGCCGCAACTAGGGATTCTGAATACTCCATATGAAATACAGGCAAGATGATGCTTTTTTTTTTTTGCAGTAATAAACTCCACGCATGCATGACAAATCCAAGCATGCAAAATGTTTAACATCCCAGTTCGGAGATACTTTGGGGACAAAATCCGATTATGAGTTATGTGCCACAATAAATAGGGCTCAGCGTTTCATAAAGCAATTTATAGTTCATAAAAATGACAAAATGTACCTGTCAGAGAGAACCCGGAGAGCAGATCTCTGTGCTGCCTGCTGGAAGGAAGGGCAGAGATGTTTATTTTATACTATGACTTTTAAAATATGAGCTCAATCAACACTTAAAAAAATGTGTCACATGCATTCTTGTCACGTGTCCAAATTTTAAAGCATTAACAAGTAGCAGCCAGCCCATATTCATATGGATATTTTCCATCTACAGCATGTAATAACACTTTGTTAAGTATGCTATAAAACCAGAGAACTGTTAAAGCACTGCACAGACCTTTAAATCTGAATGATCCAATTCAGAAGCTTTTTAAAAACCCTTGCAGGAATTAAATTCTTTTTCAGTATTTCCTTTACCATTAGGCTCCTCCCATTCTTCCATAAAAAGAGACATCACGGATTGGGGTCCTTGGATTCATCTGCAGATATAGAATTGTTCATTTTGCAAACTGCGAAAGAAGTATTGCAGGACAGGATTTCTAAGTCACCGCTGTGATTTGTTGCTGGCAAGTTTTGACTATACGGAGCTCAGATGAATGAGCTATTGATATACTTTGCCTCTTAGTTGTTGCCAAATGAAGGTGGCATGTTAGTGTGCTGATGTGTTAACCTGCGAAATAATGACAGCCTCTCAAATTTAATAGGACATCCAGGTTTCATCAAGTAAAGTACTTCCCATTTCTTTATTATCCTTTGCTGACACAAATTTCATAAAAAGGACTGACATGGATGGCTTCACTTCAGTAACTAACTGGATATCCCTAACATTGTAATCATTTCGGCTATAATTTTTGCACCAGCTTTAACCTCATACATTCTAGAATCTTTCCATCTCACTTTGGAATACATACTTATAAAGAAGTGTAACATTAAACATTATAGACAAAGATGCATAGTAGCCGTTTATTGTATTTACTTCTTTGATATATACGAGGGTTGAATGAAAAGTAATACCTCCACCTTTGTTACTTGGGTTTGGATGGAAATATTTTAATAAATCAAATGCAGAAATAATCCTTAGAATATGCTCTTTTACTGCCACTATTCAATTTTCCACATGATCACCAAACAACTGGATACATTTCTGCCACTAATGAACAAGTTTTTGGTCGCCTTGGTGGATGACCTCCGCAGGGAGCTGGACAGGGGGAGTGTGGCCCTGCTGTTTCTCTTGGACATCTCAGCGGCTTTCAATACCATCAACCATGGTATCCTTCTGGGCCAGCTCTCCAGGATGGGTCTCGTGGGCACAGCTCTGTCATGGCTCCGGTCCTTCCTGGAGGGTCGTGAAGCTGGGGGACACCTGCTCGGACCCCTGGTCTTTGACCTGTGGGGTCCTGCAAGGTTCCATTCTGTCCCCCATGCTTTTTAACATCTACATGAAACCGCTGGGAGAGGTCATCCGGAGTTTTGGAGTTCGGTGCCATCTCTATGCGGATGACACCCAATGCTATGACTCCTTTCCACCTAATTCCAAAGAAGCCCCTTGGGTACTGGATGAGTGCCTGACCGCTGTGATGATCTGGATGAGGATGAATAAGCTGAGGATCAATCCTGACAAGACAGAGGTCCTCCAGGTCAATCGTAGGCTGGATCGAGGTATAGGGTGGCAACCTGTGCTTGACCGGTTGCACTCCCCCTGAAGTCACAGGTCCGCAGCCTGGGTGTCCTCTTAGATTCAGCGCTAACGCGATGGCTGGGAGGGCCTTCGCACAATTGAAGCTCATGCGCCAGTTGCGACCGTACCTCGTGAAGTCGAATTTGGCCATGGTGGTCCACACCTTAGTTACCTGTAGATTAGACTATTGCAATGCGCTCTACGTGGGGCTGCCCTTGAAGCCAGCCCGGAAATTACAACTGATCCAACGGGCAGCAGCCAGATTACTAACTGGAGCAACTTACAGGGAGAGGTCAATCCTCCTGTTTGAGGAGCTCCACTGGCTGCCATTTATTTTCTGGTCCCAATTCAAGCTGTAGGTTTTGACCTACAAAGCCCTGAATGGTTTGGGACCCGCCTACCTGTGTGACCGCATTTCCATCTACGAACCCACGTGACCTCTTCGATCTTCTGGAGAGGCCCTTCTCTCGTTCCCGCCCTCATCGCAAGTGTGACTTGTGGTGGCCCCTTGACTTTGGAATTCGCTCCCCAGAGATATTAGGCAAGCTCCCACCCTGGCAATATTTAGGAGGAGCCTGAAAACTTGGCTGTTCCAATGTGCCTTCAATAGCTGAATGTAAGATAATCCCTGACCAAACACTGCATACAATGCCCTCAGAAGAACTTTATTTTCTGGTTGTGCAATTAAATCCTATCTCATCTCCCGGATCCCCTCCCTGATATTTTACATTGCTCTATCTCCCAGTGTTTTAAAATTTTTAATCTTTGAATTTGGCCCTGCCCATGCTGATTATTTTAGTGTCTTAATGGTTCGATTTTATATTGTTGTGTTTCTTATTTACATTGGTTTTGCATTTTAGGTTATTTTATTTTCTGATTTTCTGTTGTGTTTTTGTGTTATTCTGTGTTTATTGCATTGTTGGGCGTGGCCTCATGTAAGCTGCCCCAAGTCCCATTGGGGAGATGGCGGCGGGGTATAAATAAAGATTATTATTATTATTATTATTATTATTATTATTATTATTATTAGTTTTCTGAAGCCATCATGGAAGAAATCGACACTCTGTTTTCGCAACCCATTGTGCGCAGATCTTCTGATAGCCAAGCAAAGCAATAATGTGACCTACATGTTCTTATGAAATGCCGATTATGCTGGAAATTTCTCTCTGCGTGATACGACAATCGTCCTGAATCAATTTGTCAACCTTGCACTTGTGAAACTCGGTGGTTGCTGTCACAGGACGTCCAACTCTTTGTTTGTCACACAAGTCTGATGTTCCTACCTCAACATCTTAAACTTACTTGCCCAATAATGCACAGTACTCACATCAACACAATCACCATAAACAGTTTGCATTCTCTGATAAATCTCCTTTGGGATGACACCTTCTGCTGTCAAGAATTCAATGACTGCATGTTGCTTAAGTCTCTCTTTAACAACACAACCAATCAATGCTAAGGCATTGGTGGCTTCCCACCAAAATGGAACTATAAAGGAGAGTCTACTGAACAAGCCAGTTCCTGCCGCGTACCAGTACTGTCATCTGTTGAGGAGTTACGAAGGTGGAGGCATTACTTTTCATTCAACCCTTGTATGTACTATACATTAAAAGCACATCATAGCCAGATCTGGTCAATCTCCTCCCGTTTTATTGTCTTCTGTGATGGAGGGGTCAGGCACAATATTATCCAGTGAGTTTCAAGGCTGAAAAAAATTAAACACTTGTATTGTGGTCCAACACAACCTGGTCCCAACTCTATGTAACAAATACCCAGGCCTGCACATTGCTAATTCTGATGGCAAAGTATGTAATCGTAGCTTGTGTGATCTATTAGCCACACAAGAAAGTGATAAGATTTTATTTTGTCAGAATTGTCCTGGAGGAGAGCTTTGTATCAACTCTGTAATTAACTGGGTAAGTTATTACTTCTTTTTTTTCCCAGTGATGCATCTCAATTCCCTAGATGCTTCAATTTATGTGAAAGATGTATACTTTACTGAATTAGATCATTAGAATTTGTTAGGATGAGTGTCTCCCCCTCTGTCACATTGAAGAAAACAAGCAGATTGCTGTCTCAGGAGAAGAAATATTAGAATTGAAGGAAATGCATTCTATGGCACGCTGGTTAGGTATAAGGTTTTCCCCTGACATTAAGTCCAGTCGTGTCTGACTCTGGGGTGGGGGTGGGGGGGGGGTGTTCATCTCCATTTCTAAGCCGAAGAGCCGGCATTGTCCATAGACACCTCCAAGATCATGTGGCTGTCATGACTGCATGGAACGCCGTTACCTTACCACTGGAGCAGTACCTATTGATCTACTCACATCTGCATGTTTTCGAACTGCTAGGTTGGCAGGAGCTGGGGCTAATAGCAGGAGCTCACCCCGCTCCCTGGATTCAAACCTGTGATATTTAGGTAAGCAAGTTCAGCAGCTCAGAAGTTTACCCACTGTGCCACCGGGGAAGGCTTATGTATGTGGCTTATTTGGGAAGATTGCAGAGAGAGGAGCAGATAGAATTATCCGGAGATGAGGTCACAGAAAGTGTTGTGTTTGGGAGAGAAGAACAGAAATGTTGAAAAGAAGTCAATCATTAGAGTGGAATGAGGCTAGGGTGGAGGAACCAAAGCCATCAAGCAGACACAGACTTTTCAAAATCTCAGACCTTTTAAAGCCTGATGTTCTTTATATGGTTTCTATAAAAATACATTATTCGGGGTTTCTTGAGTGTGCGTGTGAAGATACATTGGTTGTCTTCGGTAATTTCCCCTCTCCTATGGATTATATTCTAAATTGGTTGGAGTAAACTGAAATTAGGTAATCCCTTGGTAGTCTTGCTCATATGGATAATTTATTATTATTTATTTGTGGTATTTGTATACCGCCCTTCTCAACCCTGAAGGGGATTCTGGGTGGTTCACAGTGATTAAATGAAAATTTTAAATAATTGAATGAAAAGTTTTCCTGAAACTCATTCCCCAGTTTTTTCCTCCCATTCTCCATTTCCACCCTGCTTTTTATCCATATCTTCTTTTTCTTATATCTCTCTTTCATTTTCTTCTATTTTTCATCTTCTTTTAATTATAACATACAATTAAGGCAAGATGAGTGCAGAGAACAATGTGTTTGTGACATAGCTAAAGATTAAAACAGCAGATGCTGCAAAAGGAATTTGGGATCCCTGGCTTCTTATGCTTGGGAAGTTGCTTTTGCAGACCATTTTTCATGATTAGGAATGGGAAGTCGGTAAAGATTCAGGGATAGAAAAAATAATTCTGCATATGCTCAGAGAATCAAAATTGTTGTATTGAGAATGTCTTTAATTGGTCAGCTTAACTGACCAAACCTTGTAGCTATCCACCTGATGTTGTATTTGCAGTAGACATCCCTCTAATTGAAAGAAATCATTTAAATAAACCAGGCACTTGAAA